CTCTTACCGCGACGTATTCTTAGATGTAGACCAAAGGAAATTACCCATTCACCCCCCCCTTTTTTTTTTTTTTTGAACCCCCCCCCCCCCCTCTGTCAAATCACGTAGTTCTGGTTAGGGAGTGCATATTCAGCCCGCTGTGGATGTGTGATTGTTCTTCTTTAATTTCCTTTGATCTACATCTAAGAATACGTCGCGGTAAGAGACAGAGAAGAAGAGTGGTTTTAAAGTGTGCTGGTATCGCTTGGAGGCAAAGTGTATTTCAGTCTCTCATGCACCACTGCCTCTTGGAAGAAAGAAACATGTGTAAACACAGGAGGGGGTGTTGAATATTTCACTTTAAAAGGTACTGACGCTTTTAATAGTAACTGGCAGCTATCGATTCACTTCTTTCTTTTTAATTTGAATTTAGTCAAAACTTAATAAATTAGGACTCTATGTCATTTCTTTAAATTTAAATCAACCAGTGCCTCAAGAGTCAAAACAAATGTCAATTAAAGGGTTTCAGTCGACCAAGGACGGGCTCAATGCTTTAAATACAGCAACATCCCTTATTTGGGTTGGTAGTGAGTTCCCCCTACAGCTGAAATCTCATTTTGAAATCAAACTTTCCACATTTTTACATGCTGAAACTATCAAACCAAAATCTAGGCATGAAGCACACTGCCCACACCGAGAAACATCTACAAAACAATGCTGATGGAACCGGGTCAATTACACCCCAACAACTGATTCAACAACCATTCAGTGAACTGAGTGGAACTTGGCAGCAGCTGAGAGGAAGAGAGACAAGAGAGGGGAAGCGGGGAGGGTTTTTTTGGGTATAAATCGGGCCGATCACACGGTGCCCAAAGGCAGCTGTGCAAACCTCTCATAAGCTGTCTCTGGAGTTTGTGAGCGATGTCACAGTCTGTGTCTGGGCACGAAGATGATTCTGGGGACAAAGTGCTGGCAGACCAGGGCGGCGGTGGTGAGTGAAGGTGCCCTTCCCGTAAGGAGGCCTGAGGCGGTGCCAGTAGGTACAGAGCAGCAGGAACGACGCCAAGTTCAGGTTCAACGACACGCTCTGCGGACTACAGCCATTTCTAATGAGACAGGAGTTTAATGCACACACACAAGCAAGCGTGCCGAGAGTGGTGATTCAATATACCACCACGTTGTGGCCCATTAATACAGACATTTTAAGGGCAGATTATGAGAGTGGGGATTTTATAAACTCTAATACCGAAATATAAGGATTCCTAAATTTTGGTTGTGATCATGAAATGTACTTAACAAGACATTTTTACAACTGAAAAACAAACTCGTTTCATGGAAATACTGTTTCTAATTTTCTATATGACCTCAAATATGTAATTGGGTTCTTGTGACTCCTCAGCTGCCATTTACACAAATACCAAAATATCTGTGGTAAGTTAATAAAAAAACTGAAACATGATCGAGCTCTACATTAAACAAGTTTTAAAAATGATGATTTGTATGAATTACAAAGACATCCCTGTCTTTTTGCACATACACTGAGAGCAAAGTGATGCCACAGTGGCAGTTGCTCACTATCCTCGGGGCCTTTTTCCTTCTATAGAAACGACATGCTCATTGGGGGTCAACAGGTCAGCTGCAGGCGTCATGTGACCTGTGTCCCATGACATATCAGCACCCTCCACCCCCTCCGTGCACCCACACACACAGTCCTGACAGCTCTGCTGAAAAATGCCACTGCTAGGCAAAATGGTGGGTGCCACATTCTGCATACAAATGGAAAAGAAAGCCGCGGTGAGCCGGGAAAGAATGAATGTCGACAGAGCGTCGGGGGCTAAAGAAGACTAAATGTGGCCTCAATTAAGGCCCTGACCCTCCACTTACTCTGCCATTATATTGAAAAATGCTTAAGACACAGATTCACAGTGCCTGCCAGGCAGCAAGATGAGCTTTTTGAGATCGAGGCAGACTGTTACTTGATTCTATTTGCTGTATTTAGATGGTATACAAGTCCAGAGGATCACAATTGAGACAAGAGACACAATACGTCCTTTTCCTTTTTACACAGCTAACACGCACGCAGATATGGATTTGATCATTAGATCAAGCCCGATGCGGTGCCTTGTCTCTGGTGAAGGCGATATGGGTGACAGTGGGATCGAGAGGGATGGAGACAAAAGCACCTATCAGTCCCTTTTTACCCCCCTCTTAAGTTTGGCTTTCACCGCGCATTGTAAGGCTCTCTGCTCGTCTCCAACGTCTTGAAAGGGAAAAGCAACTCCAATTCTTCCTGCTGGTACAAAGCCTCTCGCTCTCCTGTTCTCTCCCCTTGGTTGCCTCTATTTATTCGTCTTATCAGTGGGCATATTTCAAGCCCCTGGCCTTCCCTTCAGTATGAAGTGAGGCCGGTGTATGTGTGTCTGTGTGTGTGTGTGTGTGTGTGTGTGTGTGTGTGTGAGAGAGAGAGAGGGAAAGAGAGAGCATAAGAGACAGAATCCACAGCAATCGTTATCACAGCTCCCACACGATTCCTTGTTATCTTTCCCGGTCAGTCAGACTTTGGCTTGTCTGTCGTCCCCCTCATCTCTGCACCCCTGAATGTGTGTGTGTGTGCGTGGGTGTGTGTGTGTGTGTAAGGATATCTGAGTCACCATGCCCTTGTCAGTCACCGTCACTGTTGCATCGCTCTCTCAGTCCTGTTGCAATTAGATAAACACCTACTCGGCTTGCTCATAGTCCACCTCTTCCTGTTCCCCACACAGGAGAGCCCTTCATCTCACTACAGTACTGAAGTAGCTCCAGATACTGATCAGATGTAGATACTAAACATTTTGCCTGTGCATGACTCAGAACTCCTATCTGTAAAGTTACTTTGGCCCACTCAAACGCCAGCAAACTCATTTTTTGACTGCTGGAAAACAAGCTGTTTTCTGGAACTCTTCAGGAAGCACAGTTTTGGGGAATTTGCACAGAATAAGATGCTGAGATAAGTAATGTTTAGTTACCCATAGGCATTGTTTCAATAGCATTTCAAGTAGTAGGTCACTTATTAAACCAGCCACATGTTTAACACAACAGCATCATGATGAACCCGAAGCTACGAGCTTTACAAAAGCAAAATACAAGAAAGTGTGGAACTGTCGATGACAGCAATACAGCCAGTTAGAATACATACACTGATTGGAATTCAATGGCAATATGTAAACGGATCTGTCAGCGAGTACTACAATGCTGGAATGAATCAGCGAAGATTTTCCTCTGTGTAGACAGCATTTGGATAATTCGGAGCTCGAGGCAACACCTGGCCTGGTGAACAACTGCTTCCCTACTCCCACTGCTTCCTCCTTCTGCTTCCTCGTTTCTGCTGTATAGCGTTACCTTCATTTGAACTCACTGTGGATCCACATAAAAAATTCCCGGTCAAGCCCCGCACGCTGCTGATGCCCAACCAAGACATTATGCTGCCCACAAAAACTGGCAGACATCATTGGAAGCAGTCTGCGCTGATATGAAGTAGGACGTAAGGAGGAAGACTGTGTCATATAGACATGCACGTATGGAAGAGACAGTGGAAGAGGGGAGAGAGAGACAGACGGTAGAGCATAATGGAGAGTGAGACTGATAGATAGAAGAAGAAGAGGCATTGCAGCAGCGGAGGCAGCGGTGAGGCCGGGCCTGTCTGTCAGCACCTATCTGTCCTCCTGAGGCGAAAAGCTACACAAAGCAGGCTCTCGCCTCAAGTCGGCTCTAACATTTATATAACCACACACACACGATAATGAAATGACTTCTGACCTACAACGCTGGGTGGACCCATGTGGGCTGCTGCTTTAATGTTAAGCTGGAGGAGGATGGTTTTTATTTTCTCCAGGCAGCTCACGCCAAGCTCGTTTAACTCCCAACGCTGAACTGGCGCTTAGCCAGCTCGGTGCTGATTGAGACACATATCAGAATCAGAATCACCTTTTTTTGGGCCATGTATGTGTGTGTGCAGGAGTTTGACTTTTGACAGCTTGATGCATACACTTAATGACATCTTGCTTTGTATTGTATATCATGAGCTATAGT